ATTGAGAGAAATGGCGCCAAAAATCCCCGCCATGTTTACGGGAATCTTGTGCTATGAAAGTTTCATTTACTTTCTTTATTTTTATTTTTTACTTTTTTCTGAACTGTTAAAGAAAATACATTTTTTCCCCTTCTCTTAGCCCTTATTTGGTTCTGATTTTTCACCATAAAAAATCAATTTTTGATCGTTACTTTCTCATAATTCAATCGTCATTTTTTACTTCTTTACTTACAGGTAATATATACTTTTATCTTTAATGATCAAAATATTAATTCTCACAATAACTGCTGAATTGGCCCAAGTAGGTCCTAACTTTAGGGTTATCAATATGTCCAGTTTCCAAGCCAAATCAGTTCGATTGTGATATAAAATCCATCAATATTAGGGTCTGTTTGAGAGTGATTTTGAGAATTGATTTTTTGACCGTTAAGAGAAAAGTGGGGTCCACCTGTGAGAGAAAAAGTCAAATATGAGCCTTTTTAGGAGTGATTTTGAGAATTGATTTTTTGATCGTTAGGAGAAAAGTGGGGTCCACCTGTAAGAGAATAAGTCAAATATAACGGTTGGAATAATGAAATAACAGTCAAAAAATCAAATTTTTGAGAGAAAAATCACTTCGTATAACGGCTAAAATAATGAAATAACGGTCAAAAAATTAATTTTTTGGGTGAAAAAATCGCTCCCAAACAGGCCCTTAATATTTGTCCATAGCTAGTATTAGGTTGATTTGAATTGGTTAAATTAAACAACGCAATGTATGCATATTCCGAAAAAATAAATTCGAGATTTTACAACTTTTCAAGATTTCTCAAAACTCAATATTAGTGAATCTCAAAATTTGGGGAATCATAAAATGCTATGAACTCTTGAATTTTATAGAAGCTTTAAATTGTAAAATTTCGATTTTTATAACTTATTGGGCATATTTCTATTCAGCCCCTGTTTGACAAACAATAAGAAGATAATGATTTTTTTTTTTTTTTTTTTGAAGAATATGTGATTTAAAAATAGAAAAGAATTTTAAATTTATGTGTAAAATATTTTACCGCGTGAATATGTAATTGAAAATGAGTTTAAGAAAAAAATTTTGAAAATTTGAATAACATACACGACTAAAATGTAGTGTAAAAATGCACCACGATATGAAATTAATGGAAGCAGAAAATGAAGTTTCGGCGTAAACTAGGCCAAAATACGAATGAGGAACCTACGCGCGGAATTTGTGAGGAAACTTTCGTTACATAGATGTCCATCACGCAAATATTATATCATTAAAAAGTCATTGAATTTATAGATCAACGGAAAACAAAGTGGAGCAATTATGAATTGTTAAAAAAAATTATCTGTTTGGGAGTGATTTTGAAAATTGATTTTTTGCCCGTTAGGAGAAAAGTGGGGTCTACCTATGAAAGAAGAAGTCAAATATGACGACTGAAATAGTGAAATAACGGTCAAAAAATCAATTTCTTGGATGAAAAAATCGAGCCCAAACAGGCTGTATGCATGTAGTTAGTCGAATAAACTCGAAATTTGTACAAACTCTATATTTGTTTGGCATACTCAACTTTTGCATAACAAACTTGAAACCGCTAAAATTTGTAATTTCACCCATCAAACTATAGATCATGTACAATACTAAGTTCGAAATTTTCTTCGTCCCTTGAAAATCATAAGTTTAACCATAATATTGAACCGTCAATTCTAGTATCAACATGTTAACGCCATATATTTCTGGAAATTGCTGTATCCAAATTCAAAAAATTGCATGAAAATATGGACAATTAAAATCACCCTAAAATGTAAAACCAGACAACAATTAGTATCATAATTAAAAACCAACATCTATCCGTCCATAGTTACAAATTTAACAGTGCTCAACATTTATACAATAATTATTTATTGGAAAATAACAATTTTCAACGTTATAAATGAGGCCTTCATCTTACAAAACATTGTAAGGAGGTCAGCACAAATAAAATGGAATCTCTATGTAATAAATGGATAAAAATACAAAAATACAAGAAGACTTTTACATTTTTCACGTCGTTCAACAATAGGAATGACAACGGCGCGAGTTTGCAACAGAGTAGGTTCCCTCACCCTCACCCTGTTGGGAATTTTTCCGTCCCGTATTCGTCCATTAGTTGTTTAAGATGTGAGGGGCAAGGAAGGGGGTGGGACATTTACGTACCCGTTTAATTTTTTATTATTTTTTAAAGTTTTTAATAATTTATTTTATTGTCTTCGTTCATTAAAGTGAGATAATAATATAGTTATTATAATTTTAATTAATTTATTTATTTTTAAAAGTTAAATTATCCGAATATACTTGGTAAACTAAGATTTGTATTTTATTTTATTTTAACCATACATTAATAAAATAGTATGACACGCAAATACAAATCTTTTCTTTTTATTTTAACCATACATTTTTCAACGATCTTCTGCCAAAATAGATTTTTAACCTTTTAATGTGGTTCAAACATGCTCTGGATTTGAAATTGAAGCCTATGCCCCTTTTAAGTTGAATATGGATTTTGTAATCGTAAAATTTTTTGAGAATGTATGATTAAAAAATAGAAATTTTTTTTATATTTACGTGTAAAATGCTTTAGTATAAAATTATGTGATTGAAAATGTGTAACCCGGGTTAGCACAATTGCGTCGTCTTCTCATGAGCATACGAGCCGGGGGATTGTGCTAACATGAGCCGGGGGTGACACGCCGTTAAGCTAAACTCCAATTTTAATCATATCATCCTACCTCCGCCCTTGACCTATTTTCCCCCACATTTGCAAAGGTTTTCTTCGCGTCTCTCTCGGAAATTCACTCTCTCTCTTTAGAAATCATCCTTTCGCTCACTAATGGCAGACAGGACTGAGTCTGATTCCCGCCCTAACCAGATCTCCAAAGGTCGTTTTCCCTCACATTTGTTTACGCTTTTAATAAACCGACTAATTAATCAAAATAACTCGTTCTTAAGTTTTTTGGTTTTTTTTTTTTTTTGAATTTTTAAAGAAGGGTTTTTTTTGGTTTTTTTTTTCTTTTTTTTTTTTTTTTTTTTTTGGTCGGGTTTATTGTTATTTATGGGCTTACGGCCCACTTAAAGTCTTAAAATTTCAAAAAAATTCATTTTTAAATTTTTAATTTTTATATATTTTTTCGTCGATCTGGTTTGGTTTTAAACCAAAATTAAAATTCTCAAACCAAAACTTCAAAACCATTTCATTGACCGGGTCCATGTGGCACCAAATCGATGGTTTCTGAAATGCGATTTTCAGTTCGATTTTCCGGTTTGACGATTTTTGCTTACAACCCTGGTGAGGATATGCCTCCTTACGTTTTTCGAACAATCTTCCAGCATCGAAACTCTAGTGGGGGAAGAATTTAAGGGCTGGTATCGAATGAACTCTTGGGGCCCTTATTCGCCCTTTATTTGGCCCACCACAACCTGAATAAAAACTAGAAGTCTTCTTGGTTTTAGGTAGAAGGACAGTGGTGAACATTGGAAGGTGATATGGTCCTTGAAATTGTAGTTCTAATCCAATATCATAAGTATAAGGGAAAAATTACATGGACACGGATGGGGACAGGGTTTAGGATAGGGACGCCATATGGTGCCCGGAATAGGAGCCCCTGTCCCAAACCCTGTCTCCTTCCCTGTCCATGAAGCAACACTCTAAGTATAATGAGTTCTTCATTTTAGTCCACTTTTCTTACTTTTTAAATTCTTTGATCTTATTCTAAAACTCCATTTTTATATAGTTGCAATCAATCGGTTCTAGCTCGCTTTAAGAGAGTAGGCTATTGTTGGAGCCATATATGACCTCCCCACGAGAAAAGGTCCTTCAAATCTATAATTGATAGGCGATCCCTCTTTGTATAGCCAAAGGCAATAGCCTCTGCTGTTTCTTCCTTTCAATGATTCTAGCATTTTCTTTTCAAGTGCTAATGCCTCGGATTTACTTGCAGAACAACATAAATAGAAGGAATATGTCAAGTTTCAGGTGTCCTTTATAAGGTACTTGAGCAAGGTGAATGAGAATAAGTCCTTGAACAACAACATTGCCTCTTACAAATCCCAGAATAACGAGTTAGCTCACCTCTCCCAATTGTGATATATTCCAGCCACATTCAAGATTCTTCCATGCCAAAATTGTTGAAATTTCAATTTCTTAATAAACAAGTAGTTCCCACCAACATGCATGCATGAAAGAGAAGTAGCAAATTTGAATTAAAACTCACAGCTTCAGCCGCCTTGCTATTTTGTTGACAGCCACACAATTTTGTTTCTTGAGAAGCAAGATTTCCACATGCATGAGCCACCTAAGGGGCAGCCCACTTTTGCATTAAATGCTGGTGTAAAATTTCATGAATTCAGCAGATTTTTTGTCCAAAAATGACAGGCAAGGCTGGCAGTTTCTTTCTTAATACGGCAGTTTTTTTTTGCTATAATTTAAGGCAGTTTTGTAACAAATTTCTCTATAAATAGAGAGGTCCCATGCAAAGAGGATAGAAGTCACAAAAAAGTAAGAGGAAAGGCCACAATAAAAAGTGAGAATCCTTCCCACGAGAGGAAGAGAAAAATAGAGGGTAGAAGAGAGAAATAAAAGAGAGATTAGAGACTCTTTTGAGAGGTTTTTTGTTGACAGTTTGTAAATTCCGTTGTAAATTCTATTCAAGTAGAAATAGAATTATTTTTCCTCTTTTATTTTCTCTTCACGTGATCGGAGAATCACAACAAGTGGTATCAGAGCTTGGTTCATCAATTAACCCTCGTAGTTTTTGATAAAGCTTTTACAAGTCAAGATGTCAATGGAGGAATATTCATCAGGAGCTATGATCAAACTCACTGCCACCAATTACACACTGTGGAGGCCTCAGATGGAAGACCTCCTTAGTTGTAAAGACTTGTATGACCCCTTGGAAGCCAAAAGTGAAAACCCCGATCCTACCAAGGAGGCGGAGTGGAAGAAGCTAAATAGAAAAACTATCCCCGTCGTGCCCCAGGGGAGCGATGGGTTGATTCTGGAAATAGAGAAAGCAGTCAGGATCAACGTAGCAAATGGAGCACTCGCTGGGGGCCTGACGGCAAAGAGATAGACACTATGCGTGAGAAGTGGGGGGAGTCTAACAAGGAATCTGACATGCTGCTTGATAAAGGGCCATTTCATCCTCCGTACCATGGGAAGGATGAGAAGGATGTGGACCACTATCGACCATGGAGACCTAACACTTCATACAGACGAGGCAGAGGGGAGCCTCTGCACCAGGCTTTGACCCCAAACAAACAGGTTTCTACATTTGTGCATGGTCGCGGACGTGGAGAAAATCCTGCTCCAACCTTTCCTCTTGTTAGGGGAAGGATTAGCTCTGGAGGTAGCTCTGTCACCAATATTTATATTCCCCCACAGCCAGTTGGATCTTTTTCAGAAAAGGTTGAAAGTGGCCATGGAGAGCAATCTGCATTAAGATACAGCCGAATAAAATTGCTTAATATGTACAGGATAACTGATATGAGATCCTTTGCAAAACTTTTAGGGGAGGTTGATCAAGTACCTTCCCTCACTCTGGAAGAACCTTTAGAACCTCTAGCTTTTTGCACCCCCACTCCTGAAGAATTGGTAAGCATTATTATCTACTGTTTTAAGAAATTCGGTTTGTTTCTACTTGGAATTTAATTTGATTGCTTGTGTCTGTAGGTTGTCTTGAAGGGAATTGACAATGGAGAAATCATGAGTAGTGGCGCTCCACAGATCACTAAAGAAGGATCTTTTGGTCGAACAACTGATTCTGTGCAGACAAAAGGAAGCAGGATTGGTATTGTCATAATCGAATATTTTTGCACGTCCACAATCAAATTTTCATTTTATGTGACTGAAAAATTGGCTCATTTTGATCTGTATTGATTTTATTTTGTGTGAATAGGCATTAGAAATGATTTGCCCCTTGCTCTTGATGATCCTAAAAGTGAAAATATGGATGATGTAAAAGGTGGTTATTTAAATTATTCAGAAAGTTTGTCCCAAGAGAGGCATATGTATTCTTGGCCAAATGCGAAAGTGGAGACAATGCAGGATTGTCAGGCATCTGCTTATCACAAGTTGAATCCTGAAGGTGCAGTCGATGTTGTTTTATTTTATTTATTTTATTTTATTTTTTATTTTTTTGGGACTTCAGGATAACTGCGGTCCGATATGTTGAAATCATACGTATACAAAAAAGGGACAACGGAGTCATGACTTATTAGATAATATAACAGTTGAATTTCCAATCGATCAAATTGTATTGTTCAATTTATTGGGGTAGCCAGCATGTTCTGGTCAGAGCCTTCTGAAATTGTTGATTATTATGTCCTTCTGGATCTATTTGATTTTACATTGTAGTTTTATTTCTCATTGACTTTTAAGACATCTCCTGCTCGTGATTAAACATCTGGTTTTGAATAAATTTTGCACGGCATCTCCTGTGTGTTACATATGCATCAATTGAAATTTAAAATTAAATTTTCATTCTGTTTAACTTTAATATAATAGCTATAAATCTAAGGAAAAGAACTTAACTGCTTTGTCTTTCAGCTCTGGAAGAAGAAAGTGCTTCTTATAGGCAGAATGAAGATTCGGACACCACTAGAGAATCAAGCTCGCCAAAAAATTCTTCAATGCTTCATGTGGGTTCTTGGAGATCATCTTTCCCAGAGCGTTCCAAGTCAACTATTCATGATTCGAGAGAGACATCTACAGAAGTGCACGGTGTATGTGAGAAAAAATTGGCTGATTCAACAAATGCCGAAAGAGGAGGACTCAAATGGTCGATAGGTGATGATTCTATTATGAGAAGGCAAGCATCTGCAGTGTTTGACAGGGAACTGGAATCATGCAAGAATTCTCAGTCATCTCCGGAGGACCTGATTCTTTACTATAAGGACCCACAAGGTGAAATTCAAGGTCCTTTTGCTGGAAGCGATATAATTGGATGGTTTGAGGCTGGATATTTTGGCATAGAGTTGCAAGTGCGCCTGGCTAGTGCACCGTTTGACTCCCCATTCTATTTACTTGGGGATGTGATGCCCCACTTGCGCGCCAAAGCTCGACCACCTCCTGGATTTAGTACACCTAAGCCTAATGAAATTCAAGATGCATCTGGTATGTTGAACCACGACAGCCTTGGGAAGCTTCACTCAGCTTCAAGTGAGGCTGATGTGATAAAGAATGAGCCAAGATATGTGCATGGTCAGAAAACGGAGGCTGAGAACAGGTTTTTGGAGTCACTGATGTCTGGCAGTGCAATTAGTGCGCCCCTTGAGAAGTTTGCTCTCGCTGAAGGTTTGTGTCCTTTTATGTTTTAAAAAAATAAAATAAAAATTTGGCCAGGCTTCCTTTTATTCCCATTTTCTTAGTCTTATGTGAACATTTACTTTGCTCTACAGATATGCATGGATACATGGGGATCAATTCAAATGCATTACCTTCTGCGGGAGCTGGTAGTGGGGATGACGCTTATCTGTTGGCAAAAAAGATGTCACTGGAGAGGCAGAGATCTCTGACGAATCCCTATTCATATTGGCCTGGAAGAGATTTAGCTTCCCATTCGGCAAAGACAGATGTTGTAAATGACTCCTTACTGGCACATTCGAATCTTAACTCATCAATTTTAGATAATGCTTGTGCACAGCATAGTTCTCAGAATGTTGACTTAATGTCTATACTTCAAGGCTTGCCAGACAGATCTACAAATAATGTCAACAATGGAACTAGTGGTTGGTTGAATTTTCCAGTTCAAGGGGGGTTGGACCCACATCAGGATAAGTCGGATATGCATCCTGGTCAGAATTTCCCTCCCCAAGCTGCATCGGGAACACAACAGCAGAGGCCACAGTCGCAGAGTTCATTGTTGACAAATTTATTAGACCAATCTCTTAATAATCCTTCCAGCATCTTAACACCAGAAAAGCTACTATCTTGTGGTCTTTCCGAAGATCCACAACTGTTAAGTTTGTTGC